ATACATAAAAGTAAAATAGCATAATGATTAGATTTAGGTGTAACATCATAATTAGATTCAAAACATAGCACCGATAATTGGATTTGGCATATAGCACAATGATATTTAGATTCGAGTATAGCACAATAGTTAAATTTAGGTATAGTACAATAGTTAGATTTAATTATAGTACAATAGTTATATTATAATAGTTAGGCTTAGAATGCAATACAATAGTTGATTTGTGACATAGCATAGTAGTTAGATTTGGGTATAGGCACAATAGTTCGTGATGTAACATAATAATTGGATTTAGGTATAAACATGATAGTTAAATTGATATAGTAGCATAATAGTTAAATCGATATAGTAAATATAAATATGGTAAGTTAAATATTAAAAATTAATTTAATTAAATAAAAGAATAATTTTAAAAAAAATGTAATACTGGTAACTTAAAAAAATAATACTAGTTTAAAATTAAATATATTGTTATTAAAAAAATCAATTAGTTTTATTTAAAACTGTAAAAACTTAAATTTTAAAATATTTTTGCTCTGGCCTCACAATGCTACACATTAGCCTAGTTATTACATATCGAATATGTATCATAGTAAAAAGTAACAAATTTCAATTTTTTAATATTGCTAGAATGAATTATATTATTTTTCACTAAATAAATAGCAATTTTAATTCTATTGAAAGATCTTGTGCACTGCAAGATAAGAGAAATATATTTTAAAATATTTTAAGTCTAATATTTTTGAAATATTTCAAATTCTCTAGAACTGGAAAACCAAGCTGGATCAGTAGATCTATATAGCCTGGATTATACCAAGGACATTTGACTAATATTTTTAAAATATTTCAATAATTATATTACAAAAACAGATTAGATCTTTGTTTATTTGTTTTTTTTTTTGTTTTTTATTTAGATCTTCTATCAATTTTATATTGTTTTTTATTTTCTTTTGTTTTTTTTTGGTTTTATTTCATTTTTTTTAGTTTTATTTTGTTTTTTTATTTTTTTTGTTTTTATTTATTTTTTTTTTATTTCTACAAAAAACACCAACCCTAACTTTTTGGCACTTTGCAAGAAATCCAATGACTTTAAGACACTTTGTGCAAGCCAACTCAGTGTTTTGCCACTTTGCAAGAACATACTACTAATTTTACCAAGCAACTTCTAAATTTTCAAGAATGCTTCTTTAGAGAAATAATGATTTAGTTAGTGCTTTATTTATTTTTTCATTATGTTTTTTGTTCTTTTTGTTTTTGTTTTTTTTTATTTTTTCCAATACTTTGAGAAAAAAAATAACCTAGGCTTTTTTAACATTTTGCAAGCAAATACAAACTTTTTCAGAACTTTGCAAGAATATATACAACTTGATTTCAGCAATTTCTGTTAGTGAACTCTACTTTAGAGAAATGATTTGGGTTTTTATTTTCTTATTCAGGTTGCTTACATTTTATTTTTTTTGTTTGTTTTCTTTATACTTATTTCTTTAATTTTTATTTTTTTATTTATTTCAGCACTTTGCAAAAACTGTAATTTTGACAATTTCTGATTTGCAAGAACATAAACTTTACTTCAGGAATAGAAATTTGGGCTTAGTTTATTTTTTTATTTAGTTTGCTTACAGTTTTGTTTTTTGGATGTTTGTTTTTTACTTATTTTTTTAATTTTAATTTATTTTATTTATTTCTGACTTTCTTCAAAACTTTGCAAAAAAAACAACCTGATTTTTTGCCACTTTACAAGAACACTAACACTAACTTCTTTAGCACTTTGCAAGAAGTAGCTAATATGAGTGAATATGATAGTTAAAAAAAAAAAGAAAATAATAGCTAACTGCAAGATAAGAAGATAAGTGTATTGGGCTAGATTTTTATGAAATTAGATGTGACAAAAGTACAAAGTATTTAAAATATTATATTTTTTCAATTTTTTGTTTGCTTTTTTGGGTTTATTTTTTTTATCATTTTTTTAGATTTTTTTTGTAAAAAATGTATAATAATACTGTATATAATAAAAATATATAATATTGATTAAAAATTTAAAATACAATATATAATAATAAATAAAAAAAAATATATAAAATTTTATAATAAATTTAATAAATTGCAAAACCTTGTAAAACTTTAAAAAACCTGTAAAATGTTTAAAAAAATTGCAAAAAGCATGATTATGTAAATATTATTATTATTGATTGTAATATCTTATTAATTTATACAAGATTTTGCAAGTTTTCAATATTTGTTGTTATATTTGTAATATTTTCACTATTTTCGAATTTACTATATTATAAATGTTCATAATTATTACACTTTTGTAATACTCTAAAGTTACTATAGTATAAGCTTTCATAATTATTACCCTTACACAATGTTGTACATTTTGGTTGTCCAAGCCCTTTTTTGGCCTTGTCTACATCCAAAATGTCCAAGCGTCCAAGATTGCCAAAGCTTATAAATTATTAAATTTGTTTAAAAAATATATAATTATATATTTTTTGAGGTGCTAAACACATTCCAGTTAAAATAAAATAGATTGTCTTAATAAAATTTTAAGTATTTTTACTTTATTTAATTGTCCAAGATTGTCCAAAAATGTTAAACTACTGTCCAAAGCTGTTCTATGACAACACTGTCCTTACATAATCCTTCAAACTAATCATAAGTTTTTATAAGTTTATCCTTGTGTAAAAACTTACAGAGAATTATATATATTTTTTTTGCTAATGTGTAATATTAAATCATTTAATTATTTTTCTTTTTGTCCTTAGAAAATTTTTGGCATATTAGTATTTTATGTTGATTAATTGTCTATGCCACTGAACATTTCTGATACTTATATTTAGAATTTGCAAATTTATCATCTAAATAAGCCAACTTCTCTTACATTATTATTAATGATTAGCAGATTTTTATTCAATTTCTAGCCTGAAATTATATTTGAAGAGAAATAATTCTAATACTTTTCTTATCAATTGGCTCAGCCCACAAAGGTGCAAACTAATAGTTGACCCATCTATCACCCAGCTATAGGGCCAGGGTCAACCCATATCACTAATCCATACCCTTTATGCTTTGTAATTATATTCCAATTTTGTATGAAAATTGTAGCAAAAAAAAGCATTAGTTTTAACAATTATTTGTACTACATATCCTTAGTATAATCTTAATTTATTTCTAGCATTATTAATTTATAATACGACAGGGTGAAACCCGCGTTGCTTGCTAGTAAAACCCGCGTTGATTAGCTAAATTAGGTGAAACTTGTGTTGTTCATGTGTAAAAAATATAAATCCGCTTTTGAATGTGTAAAACCCGCGTTTTAATAGATAAAATATGTAAAACCCACTTTTAAAATATAAAACCCACGTTTGAATATGTAAAATTCGATATGATAATCTTAACTTTAAGCGAAGATATCTTAGCAACCACTTGATCAAATTTGACGAAATATTTTTTATTTGAATTCTATGGATCCATAGAATTCAAGTAAAAAATTTTTTATCGAATTTGGTCAAGTGGTTGCTAAGATATCTTCGCTCAAAGTTTTAGAAAAAAAATCAAAACGTCTATCAAAATACAAGCTGCGCCAAATTTTTCTAAAATTTTGAGTGAAGGTAACTTAGCAACCACCTAACTAAATTCGATGAAAATTTTTTTATTTAAATTCTATGATTCCATAGAATTCAAATAAAAAAATTTTCATCGAATTTGGTTAGGTTGTTGCTAAGTTACCTTCGCTCAAAGTTTTAGAAAAAAATCAAAACATCTATTAAAATACAAGCTGCGCCAAATTTTCTAAAACTTTTTGAGCGAAGGAAACTTATCAACCACCTAACCTAAGTCAATAAAATTTTTTTATTTGAATTCTATGGATTCATAGAATTCAAATAAAAAAATTTTTATCAAATTTGATCAGGTGTTTGCAGAGATATCCTTGATCAAACTTTTGTCAAAAAATTTAAACGTATCTGTCATGTGATACGCGTTTTTAAATTCTCTAAAACTTTGATCACAGATAACTCTGCAACCACTTGATCAAATTTGATGAAAATTTTTTTATTTGAATTCTATGAATCAATAAAATTCAAATAAAAAAATTTTCATCGAATTTGATTAGGTGGTTGCTAAGTTACCTTCGCTCAAAGTTTTAGAAAAATTTGGCTCAACTTGTATTTTGTTAGATGTTTTTGATTTTTTTCTAATATTTGAGCGAAGGTATACTAGCAATCACCTGATCAAATTTGATGAAAATTTTTTTATTTGAATTCTATGAATCCATAGAATTCAAATAAAAAAAATTTTATTGACTTAGTTTAGGTGGTTAACAAGTTACCTTCGCTCAAAGTTTTAGAACAATTTGGCGCAGCTTGTATTTTAATAGATGTTTTGATTTTTTTCTAAAAATTTGGCGCAGCTTGTATTTTGATAGACGTTTTGATTTTTTTCTAAAACTTTGAGCAAAGATATCTTAGCAACCACTTGACCAAATTCGATAAAAATTTTTTTTACTTGAATTCTATGGATCCATAGAATTCAAATAAAAAATATTTCATCGAATTTGATCAAGTGGTTGCTAAGATATCTTCGCTTAAAGTTAAGATTATCATATCGAATTTTACATATTCAACCGCAGGTTTTATATTTTAAAAGCGGGTTTTACATATTTTATCTATTAAAACGCGGGTTTTACACAATCAAAAGCTATTTACATTTTTTACACATGAACAACACAAATTTCACCTAATTTAGCTAATCAACGCGGGTTTTACTAGCAAGCAACACAGGTTTCACCCTGTCATATTATAATTATTACTATATAGTAGTTGATAATATTATCATTTCTGAAATTTATTTGAAGAAATTCAGTACTATGCCATCAAATAGTTTTACCTCAATTTTTGAAATAATTATGTATTATTGAATACTAAATCACTTGATCTTACTGGAAATTATAAACTCATAATAATATTGCAAAATATTTACCTAAAAAAAAATTAATTGTTTGTTATCTGCAGGATTTGAACCTGTGCTCCCAAGAGAAATAGCTTAGCAGGCCACTGCATTAACTATTCCACCAAAGCGACTCTAATGAACAAATGTTAGCATTGTTAATAGCTAATCTACAAGAGTGAAATAGGCCAGATCATTACTACAAAAATGCAACAATACACACAACCAACCACACAATAAAACCAAGATAAGACAAAAGAAATTTGGCAAAGTAAGGCAAGTTGGTTTGTTACAGGTGGGTATAAATACAACATAATTTTATTAAGAAATATTTGAATTTTTAATTAATTTATTTTATTTGATATTTTATTTTTTTGCAGCTTGGCAAATACCTTCTTATTTATAGAAAAACAGAAAAAAGAAAAAAGACAAAAAAATAAAAAAAACTCTATTTTACTCATCATCTCTTTTATACAAATATGATCACACCACAAATACTTATATCTGAATTTGACCTTTTTATTTGTTTATCCTAAGCAAAAGACATCATGTCAGCTTTTTGAGTATTGCCTAGTCTAGTGGGCTAAGATTCAATGGGTTTATTTTATACACCATATCTTCTTTTTCTTTGTTACCAAGGTCTAGGAGTGATTACAGTATGATTTCTGAAAGTTAGTTACATGCCAGCTCATTATTCTGACACTATATTCCCAATAGAATGTTTCACCTACAGCACTTTTTGTTGACAGAATCTTTCCTCAACATACTATGTTTTTAACATCCCCTTTTCTTGACATCTCATATTTTCGACAAGACATTTATCTGATATGACATATTTCTAATTTTACTTTTCTCTGGCACTAATTTTATTAAATGCACTTTTTTTGACAAGAACAATAAACCCAGTAATCATCAAATCACGTGAAATCATGCAACCATGTTATTTGTTTACTAGCACTATCAACTCGGCCTAAATTATACTATCACCTAACCCTAATCTAACCCTAACTCTAACCCTAATTTAGGCTGAGTGCTTAATTATGTGATGTAATAACCACAAATATATCACTCTACCCAAAAATTATATTTCTAGTCGGGGAAAAATCTTGTCAGAAAAAGATGTCGGAAACATGGCATGTCAGAAAAATATTCTTTTTGAAATACGTCATATTAGTAAAATGTCTTTTCGAAAATATGTCCTGTCAAGGTAAGGGGAGGTCAAAAACATGGTATCGGGGTAAGATTCTGTCAACAAAAAATGCTGTAGGTGAAACATTCTGTCAGGGATATAGTATCAGAAAAATAAGCTAGCGGAGAACTAACTTTCGGGAATTAAATAACAACCCTTGGAGTACCTGTTCCAACTTTCTACTTTAGTTCACTTTTGACTCTTCAATATCTTCATTTCAATTCTCTTTAGCTTCTTGGTACTTTTCAGAAATGGGCTTGGTCCATGTTTTTCTGGAGCTATTTTGGGGCTTGTTTATTTATTTATTTTTAATAATTATAGCAGTCACATGAATCATGGAATAGCTAGGTCAGCTGCCAAAAGTTCTCCCTGGCTTAATTTTTTATATACCATGTAAAAATAACACAGTAATTTCTTAAAATTTTTTTTACTTTTTTTACTTTTTGCAGTTTTCTTATAAAGTTTGGTATGGCCTCTTCTAAGACTATTGCCCAGGGGGTCAATCTAGTTTGGTTTCTTCTAGAATCATATACATGGGCCTTGCTTCATTGCAGCAAGTGCAGAGTGATTCTCTTCATCAGACTCATCATTGTATATCGAGTTCTTCTCAACTTTTCCTATCCTACCTTTTTTATTCTTCTATTTAAAAGGCCTCTACAGATCCTGGTCCTTGTAATATATATATTCTGGGACTCTTTTCTTTATTCTATATCTCTTTTAACAACTCTATTCATGACTTGACCAGGGTAACATCATTTGTTAGAGCTCATAGTAGTATAAATCATTCTTCTTAACTTTGTCTATTTTGCCTTTATTTTTGACTAAAAATCTTCCAACTTTTTTCTCTTTCTTTCTGCAGACTTTTTCAGAACTTTCACGCTTTTGGTCATAGCATCATTAGGGTCAAATTGTCCTTCAAAACTGTCATCTTTAGCATGTTTCAGACATCACTTGCACACTTAGTTTTTTCAATTTTAGTTCTAATTCCTTTTTCATAACAATAACTGATCTAATATGGTTCTTTGCACTTCCTATTTCAGTTAATTTTTGATAATAAATGGAGGCCTTATTTTCATTCTTTTTAATATCACTTTCCTTCAGAGTTCTTGAGTAACTTCTTTTCTGGGCCCAATTACATATTAGAGCTTCACATTTGGTGGCTAACTTTTGAAAGAAGTACTTTAAATCTTTTCTCTTATTCATGGAACCAACTGCAGCACCATCGAAAAGTTCTTCAGAATGAAATATAAATCAAGAACCTTGGTCACCATTTTTTTTTTATTCTGAGGTTTTGGGAACTTTGGCATAGAAACTATACAGAATACAAACAATGGCTTTCTATAGGCAGGGCTATCAGATATATGGGAGCGAGTATACAATTTTTTTTTCTCTTTTTTTATCAACAGTGGAACTATTATATATACTTATTTTTTTATTATTTCTAATAGAAGTTCCAAGGCTTAGAACATTTTAACCTAAGACACACCGCATTAATTAATTATCTAATTTTTGAGATAATGTATACATAGTAAACCACCATAGGCGCGTTTGTAAATATCTATTTTTAGGCATTTACTAATTTCATTGCAATTTGTCAATGTTAATAAAAAAATTATTTAATGTATAGTATATAAAATGCATAAGAAAAACAAAAATAAACACTTTATCTTTTTACTTTCGATCAAATAAAATACTAGTAATAACCGGCAAAACTTGCACTATGCATTGTGATGTTAGTGGTTGCCTTCGCTCTGTCAATGGTTACATTCGCAATCGTCGAAGGTCGAGACAATAATAGTTCATGGCCAATAGTCGATTAGCCTTCCGAGTCCCTTAACTGAATTGGTCGTAAAACGAAAAAAAAAAGATTCCTATATCAGGAATAACACTTAAGGATTTATGCCGAACCTTAAATTTGGTGAATTAAAATGCCGTATCATGTAGTACGTGTAGTACGCATGTGCAAAGTATATACGTGCGTACCTACGTACTTTACGTTGAGGGTAAAAATAGGTAAATTTTCGCGTAACAATCGCGAAATTCCATTGTAAAATTGCTAAAATTTTAAATTAATAAATATAAATTCCGTTGACAATTGAGCAAAGTTTTTTTAATAAATTAATATGTAAATTACGGAGAAGATACAATTTGAAAGTTAACAATTTTTTATATAAGATATTTTGAATTTCAAATTGTATCTTCTCCATAATAATTTATTATAAAATTTTATTCAATTGCTCATCGGAGTCTTTATTTTAAAAAATGGCGCGTTATTTTTTAAAAAAACATTTAATAAAAATTTATTAATTTATTAAAAAGTGTAATATACATTTTATTAACATTAATAATTTATTAATATATTCAATTTTCTTATAGACTATACGTATACCTAGTGATGTGCCATTTATATGATGTCTGAATTTTTTTAGCGTACAGTACATGCAGTACGTACAGTACGTATAGTTGTATGATATATAAACTATATATAGAAGGCGGTTTCATAAGGGAAAATTTAAGTTATGAATAGTTTTATGTTTTGTTCTAGAATATTCTAAAAAATTTTTGCGTACTGTACGCGGCACATCTCTGCGTATACCCAATCTAAAAACCTCAATCGCTTTATTTAGAATGAAGATCATCAACTAACACATTGGAGATAAATTAAATTCAGCGGTGGCTTATTTTAAGTTTATGCCGTATGTAAGAATAGTTGCTTTTAAGTATATATTATTCTTGGCATATTACTTCATACAAAATAATTGAAAATTCTAGTTCCTTCACTTGACTAATACTAATAATTTAAGAAGTTTATTTTCGATGTGCTACCAGTTTATGCATTGCATACCATATAGAGATTGAAATTTTTAATTTTCTGCACAGTGCGTACGTAGTACGTAAGAACGAGCGTTGTTTTTTCGACCAAGATTAGTACATTCAAAAGGTCATGGCAAACATACCAAAAATATGGCTTGAAAAAGCCATTTCTGATGGGCATATTAATTATATCGAATATAATAAACTTTCAAACCCTATTGAAATCGGCATTGGAGGTTTCAGAAGGGTTTTTAAATACGAGTGGAAAGACTGTGAATTAAAGGTTGCTCTTAAATGTCTTATAATTAATACAAGCAAAGATGAAAAGATCATTAAAGATTTTATTGATGAGGTATTAATTTGCTATATTAAAATCATAATTACGTCCTACTATAGAATAAAAAAATTTATATAATTCATATAATTAGCTTAAACTATTGCGAAAAATTTCGTGTCATCCATGTGTTATTACATTCTATGGAGTTACAAAAAGTAGGCACACGTTTATAATTTTTGAAATTATCAGATAATAATTATGTTAAACAAAAATTCTTCAAATCGAATATATAGACAGCTACGGGCATTATAATATGATTTTAGAATATGCTAATGAAGGGACATTACGACAATACCTAGAAACAAATTTTACAAGATTACAATGGACAGATAAACTAAATATTGCTAAGGAAATAACACTTGGACTTTTATTTTTACATAGTCATGATATTATTCATAGAGATCTTGTAAGTATTAATATTTCCTCTGATTTTATATTTATCAATTCACTTATACGGTATTTTAATCACCAATACTTTAATAACTTAGCATTCGAATAATATCTTAATTCATGAAGGCAAGCCATAGATAACAGATTTTGGTCTATCGAAGCAAATAAATGAGGTATCTAATACTTCTACCGCTTTTGGAATGGTAGCATATGTTGACCCTAAGTACCTTGAAGATACCAAATATAAACGTAACAAGAAATCTGATGTCTATAGCATTGGAGTAATTCTTTGGGAAATTTTAAGTGGAAGACCACCATTCCCATACTTTGACACAGATATTAAACTTGCTTGTCATATTTTCAAGGGACACAGAGAAAAATCTATAGAAGATACACCAACTAAA